CAAACCCCTGCTCCACTCCATGCCCCCAACACACCCCTGGGAACAGAGCCGCGGGGGAGAACAAGAAGGCGACACGTACATTCTTAGTGATGACTGCGAAAGCAAACCTGAGGCCGGGCTCCCAGCCCCTGCCTCAGCAGCCCCTCGGGGGGAGCAGGGGGCTGCGGGGCTGGTGCTGGCGGAAGCGGAAAGCCGAAGCTGGGCCTCTTAAAAGGAACATACAGGAAAACCATGCGACAAATCCGCTGCCGTTTATACAAGGGCATAAACACCAAAGAGCCGGACGCCAGCCTGTGTTTCAGGGCAGCACGGAGCAAATCCTGGGGGCAGAGCCCACCCGCCGCCCCCCCAGCACAGAGACACAAACACAGCACAGTCCCCGCAGCGCCAGGGCCAGTGGCGAGGGACCAGGTGCCTGCCCGTCACGACTGGGCGTGAGGGATCCACTGACTGTCCACGGGGCGCCGCAGCAGCTCCTCCACGTGCCTCGCCACATCCATCGTGTCATCCAGGTCGAAATCACCCTCAGGGTCCAGCACGGGGTCGGGGCTGCAAGAGGCAGGGGGTGAGGAGGGGACCAGCTGCAGCAGGATGGGGGCAGGGGATGTGATACCTACTTCTGGGTGTACATGTTGTAATGGGGCTGGGAGCAGACGGCAGGCGAGGGCGCCTGGTCCATGTAGGTGGCCCCTCCAGGGGCAGAATCGCTTGATGGATTGACAAACCTGTGGGGACAGGTCTCATGAGTGCTGGCACAGGACAGGATGGGCATCCCGGGGGTGAAGTCACGCTCTGGAAACTTTCACCCCCTCTGAACAGCGTCTCCCAAGGCTCAGCACCGATGTGGCCATTGGCAGCTGAGCTCCACAGTGCCCTGGGCTGCTGGTCACCTCTGCCAGCTCGACAGGGGAAATCCCATGGGACCCACTGCCCAGGGTTTGCCTTTGGTGTCACACTTACTCTGGCACCACTTGCTTGATCTGTGGCTTCACGTATCCATCCACGGCTTTAGCTAGAGGGAAGGAGACAGCGCTGAGGCCCCAGGATCCTGCTCATGCTGTGAACCTGTGGCAGTGCTGGGGGCTTCAGCTGCAGAGCCCCTGTGGGGCCAGTGCAAGCCCCAGGGTGGGGGATGCTGTGAGCCCCAGCTCCACGCCAGCCGGATGCACAAAGGAGGGGACACACATGGGGTGAAGGGACAGCGCTACCTGGCGTGGACTCACAGAGAACCGGCGTGTAGTACTTGGAGAACACCTCATCCTTGGGCCGGTCGGGGAACACGTAAATAAGGTAACTGAGGTCCCCAAGGCGGTCGGCCAGGGAGCGGATGGAGAAGTCCCTGGTGGTGAAAGGCATCAGGTTCCAGAACATCCTCTCAGCTGCAAGACAAGAACGAGGACCATGGTGATGTCCAGAGCCAGTGGTGGCTCCTGGTCCTGTTCTGGACACAGGCTGTGAGGTCACATCGAGGAGCATGAGACAGCCAAGCACAAGGTGGGGGCCAGGGACACTGTCTGGGGGTGCCAGCACCCGGTACACACTCACAGGAATCAAACTTCCAGGCGATGGTGATGCCACCAATCTCTGAGTCGCTGAAGCGCAGGAGGAAAGTCCCGTCGGGCTTGTTGATGAGCAGGTCGTGTGCCTGCTGCTTGTTGACGAAGCCCAGGATGGCCCTAGGCAGAGCAGGGCGTCAGGGCAGGGGGCTTGGCCTGGGCAGCACGGGACAGGGCGGCTCTTACCCGTCATTCCAGTGCGGCTTCAGATGCTTCTTCAGCACCTCCATGACCCCGTCAAACCACTGCCAGAAGGTGTAATTCCTCCCAGGCAGGTTTTCCTGTTGAAATCCCCAGAAAATGAGCACTCCTGCCACCAGCCTCGGAGCCGCTGTTACACAATAAAGCCATTGGATGCAGCAGCAAAGACTCAGGGACCTGGACTGTGGGACTCCCAGGTGGACATGCCCCATACAGCCCTCCAGCACAAGCACTGGGGGCACTCCACAGCTCTCCTGCACAGACTCCAGGCTGCTCACCCGGTTGAACTGGGACCAGGACACCGTGGTGCTGCTGTAGTCCTCCAGGTGGGAGCTGGTGCTGTTGAACAGCTTCTGTGCCAGGAACACCAGGTTCTCCTTGGTCAGCCCACGGCTGCTCTGCACCTCCGCCTTGAACTTCATGTTGAGCGCCTCGCAGAGCTGCGGCCACTGCACCTTGTCGGGCACGGCGAAGGGCACGCGGCCCTGGGGGCAGAGAGAGAGGTCAGCACCAAGCTCTGCCTGCTGCCCCTGGGCACGGCCCACCAGAAGGCTGAGCCCGACTCCTGGAGCCCCTCAGGAGGCTGAGCCCAACTCCCACAGCCCCCTGGGGCGAACAGGGCCTGTCCTGCCCCCCATGGCACTGGCACTCACGGGCTCGGCAAAGGCATTGTCCCAGAGCACAGTGGCCGTGGCATTGTTGTCCTGGCTCCCGTGCACGATCACTACCACAGGCAGGGACAGCGTCTGCCAGGAGGAAGGAGACCAGAATGGGTTGTGGGGCACCACAGGAGCATCGCCCGTGGGCACCCTATGGCCCCAGCCCAGCCCCACACTGTGGGCATGGTGTCCGTGGCTCACCAAGGGCCTACAGAGGGGACATAGCTGGTGGCTTTACCTTCACCTGGAAGACCAGCTCATTGCCACCAACACTGAACTGCGACTCGAAGAGGATGGTGAACTTCTCTTCCGTCACTGACTCGGCCCCACGGCGATCCGAGCGCTTGATTCGCTTCAGGGACTGCAGGGACATGAGAGGTGAGCACAGGGGAACAGATGGGGACACCAGGGTGAACACAGGGGGACATGAGGGCACACGAGGGGAGGCAGGGGCACTCACCATGTTGCGAAAGTGGGCACTGAGTGTTCCAGTGGCCTGGTGATACTCCATCACGCAGCAGTTGTTAAGGATCTCCCCACTGCTCTCACTGCCACCAGAATGCAGGGGTCAGGGGACCACCAGGGCCGGGAGCCATCTGAGGTGCAGGCCCCCCTCCGCCGTGCTCCCCACTGCCTTGGCAGCCCCAGCCCCCCACTACAACCCCCCAGCCCCCGGCATTACTTGCGGGTGCTCTCGTTCTTCAGCAGGGCCTTGGCTTGCTGCTCACTGATGATGGTGGCCTTTACCTGGGGGGGGTTCATGTGCACGTTCAGCTTCCCCCCCACCAGGAGCCGCACGGTGGCTGCGAACTTGGTCTGTGTCTTCAACACCTGGGGGGGCTGCTTCTCGATGATGAAGGTGCTGGGGGGGCAGGAGGATCAGAGGGGTGGGCAGAGCAGGGTCAACCCCACCGACTACCACAGTCCACTCAGACCCCACCAGTACCTGGTGACCAGGGCAGAGATGATGTCGGTGATGGTGCCGTTCAGCTCTGACAGCATCTCCTCCACTGGGCCTGGGATTGGCAGCTGCTGGCACAGGTGCTCAGCCCGGCGGATCTGCTGCCGGTTCTGCCAGATGATCTCCGCCAGCTTCTCACACCTGAGGGGAGCAGGGCTCAGCACGTGCTGCAGCTCAGCACCCCCTCCCGCCCTGCCCCACCAGGCACCCACCACGTCTGCAGCACGTCCAGGGTGCCCTCGGGTGGGCCCCCGTTCCCTGCCAGCTGCTGCCGACGCTTCCACTGGATCAGCTCATCATCCAGGATGGTTGTTTGCTGCTTGCGCAGCAGCTGCAGCGTCTTCTGGTGCTTCTCAGCCAGGTCCTGCAAGGTGGGATGGTGTCATGGGGCACAGGGACAGCATCACAGGAAGCAGAGGACAGCATCACGGGGGACGGGGTGGCATCACTCACCACACGGTACTGCTGTAGTGTCTGGGCCTCCCGGTGCAGCCAGGCCTCCAGCGACGCCTTCTTCTGCTGCAGCGTCGTCTCCCGTGACATGCGCTCCTGGGGGCCCAGCTGAGAAAGCTGGGAGAACTGGGCTGGGGGACAGGTCACAGCATTAGGGCCAGCCCTGCCAGTGCCCCGGCCACACACCCCTCAGCCCCCCACCCACCTTGAAGGCGCATGTTCTCCTGGTACTGGATGATGAAGTACTCCTGTGTCTGCTGCAGCTTTTTGAGCTCGTTCTCCGAGTCCTGTGTGATGAGCCGCAGCTCCTCGAAGGTCTGGTTGATCTGCAGGTGCTTCTGGGACATGGCATCCACCAGGGAGCCAGCAGGTGACGGGCTCTGTGCAGGGCACGGGGCATGCTTAGCACTGTAAGGGGACCCTCCCTGTTTCCTTGGGTGCTGGGGGCACCCAGAGCACCCCCTGCCTCGGGGCTGCTCCCCTCATCATGCTGGAGCCCCTGAGCATTCCCCCAACCCTGTGGGACCCTCTCCCTCACCCCTCCCAGTTCCCACTCACATTGTTGGCCTCCCGCACCAGCCGCTGCTCGTGGTAGAGGATGTGCCGGATGCAGCGCACCAGCTCCATGGGGCACCGGTCATATGTGTTCTGTAGGAGAGCACAGCCTCAGCCAGGCACAGGGCAGGGACCCTCCAGTCTCACACTCCCACCTGCGGCCCCCAACTTGCCTGCAGCTGTGTGGCGTAGTGCCCCAGCTTGATCTTCAGCAGGAAGCCATCCTCACCCACTTGGTGGTCTGCCTTCTTCTGCAACTCCTGGATCAGCCCCTCCAGCAGCTGTGTTGCCTTCACATTCTCCTGGGGGTTGTCGAGGTCGATGGAGTCCCTACACATGGAGCAGAGAGCATCAGGGCAGCCTACTGGTGGGGGGCACCTACTGGCACCCCTGAGGCAGCTGCTGCCAAGCCCAGCACCCCCCTGGGGAGAGGACCCCCAGCTTACCATGCCTGGCTCTCGATCCACTGTGACAGGTAGTGCCGCACCTCGATGGGGAAGTGCTGCCCATAGAGTGCCTGCATCTGCCGCAGGGCTTCGCCCTGGAGCTGCTGGGCCTGGATCCACACCGCCATGGCTCAGCACCTGCAGGAGATGGGCTGTCAGGGCACCCGTGGCAGACAGGCAGGCGCTGTGCTGTGCCGAGTCCAGCCCCAGCTGTCCCCACACCCTTTGCAGGAGCTTCCGCGTTCTCCTTTGCAGGAGCCCCTGGAGTCTCTGGTGCTGCCAGCGCCGTCTCCAGTGGCTGAAAGAAGGGGTGTGTGGGGGCAGGGGACCCTGGCTCTGAGTCACCCCCTCTTTTCTAGGAAGAACCCTGGGGGTGCCCGGGGCCAGGGACGCGCCTTTGCGCGGCCTCTCCACATGGTTCTCATTTCCCCTCACTGTGCCACGGGATCGCAGCCATCGCTGGCCACGCAAATGAGGAAACGGGGCTGAGGGGAGGGAGGGCTGGCCAGAAATCCAGGGTGACGCAGAGCAGAGGCCCCCCTGCGCTCGCCCTGCTCCTGCCCACACCCTGGCAGTGCTGATGGGCAGAAGCAGTCCCGGCCCCAAGGGACCACGTGGCACCACAGACCCCGATAGGTCCCTGGTCCCAGGGCCACTGTATGACCTATGTCCTGGTGGACATGCACAAAGCTTCTCAAAGCAGTTTTGGGGCGGCTCTAGCTCCATGCAGGAGCACTGCCAGATTCCACCCGCCACTCAGCCTCAGTTCCCATGGGGCAGCCAGGGATGGGACAGTGGAGACAGCACCTCTACTAAAACCTAGTGCATCCCCTGGGCAGTCACACCTGTGGCTGAGTGTTTGAGGGTGATGCAATGGTGCTCAAGGCCCCCCCAGACGAGGAGGCAGCAGTAAATAGCATTTAGATACACTCACGCCCAAACCGCCTGGGATCTGGCACCACACGGAGGGGCTGGGCAGAGGTGCGAGGCCTCACGCCATGTCCCAAGGCCGAGTGATCATCACAGGACCTGGTCACTGCGCTGGCTGGTGACAAGCAGAAGGACCGAGCCAGTGGGGGCTGTGCCTCCCCAGCTCCCCAAAGCACTTTGTTCAGCCTCAGAAACACCCCATGGCCCACGCAGCTCCAGAAAAGCCGCTGTGGTCCCCCAGTGAGGGGCACGTGCTGCGGGACAGAGGCAGCAGGTCCGAGAGGAGCAGCCACGGCTGGAGCCCCTGAGCTCGGCACACCCGCCCCTGAGCAGGAAGAGGAACAATAACCCAGAGCTGGCTAAAAACGAATTTTTCCCCTATAAAATGGGAGGAACATTTCCACATTCACAGAAATCACCAAGCTGGAAATGCTGCTGGCAAGGAGGAGCCTGGGGAGGCATAAGAACGCCAGCAAGGAGGAAAGGAAAGGTGGGATGGCCAATAACAGGACGAGCTGCTGTTGGAAATTGAGGACGCTTGATAAGGGGCAGCGGTGGCAGAGCCAGGAACAGCCATGGCCATGACGGTGCCATCACGACACAAAAAAATGAAGTCCCCAGCACTGCAAGGACATCTGCATGGACACAGAGCAAACAGATGCTGCCCTGCCTGACGAGAAAATGGTGATCTCTTCCCATTTTGTGGTGACAAAACACTTCCTACTCCACTCCAGTGTGTTGTTAAGCAACGAGTCTCCAGCTGGTCTGTGGTGAGCCAGCAGGCACTGTGCTCGGCCGGCACCAGCCTGGGAGCAGGAGCACCAGCATCTGCCTCTACAAGGGAGCATGCAGCCACCTATGGTGGCACCGCTCACCTGGTGTGTGCCCCAAAACACCACTCGTGCCAGGCTTGGGCACAACCTCCATGGGCATTGTCAATGCAGCAGTGGACATTTCTGCAGGCACCTCATTTTGGCTTCCTGTGTCTCACCTGTGGACTGACAAACCAAACCTCCCCGTGGGCTGCAGGGTGCCCTGAGTGCCCCAGCACAAGCCACCAGTGCTCCCTGCCATGAGCAGATGAGGCTTTTGGCCCCGAGACCCAGCAAGGCTGAGGCAGCAGCTCAGTTTTGGCATGAGCTGCAGCACCATGGTCCCACTGTGCAGCCAGAGCCACCACTGCCAGCTTTTCCAGGCAGCCCTGCCTTCTGTGCCCAGCTGCTGTTCGCAGCCACTGCCTTGGTTTGGACCATGCTGAGCACCACTCTCCAGCACCACATTCTCCAGTGGCACCACTGGCTGCCCAAGGGGTGGGAAGCCGAGGATGGATTCACCCCTGTGCCCAGAGACTGGCATTCAACCACCCCAGTGCCACCACCCAGCCCATCAGCCCTAGGCGCGTCTCCGTGGCTCCGGC